AGGAAGATGCCACATAAATAACGCTCTCCTCTCCTCGGAAGGCATATTATTACGGTACTAGTGTGAACCCCCTAGGACACTGTCTTAGATGTTAAACACTCCGTTCACCTCTTTCGACTGGCTGGATTCGCCGTGGATCACAAGTCATCAGAACAAATGCTCCCATTAATCAAAGGGCAAGAAACCAGGATGGAGAAAGAGGTCATTTTAACAGGCAGTTTACTAGTCATACACTCCATCGCCTGGTGTAGCAAGCGACTTAAAACTAAAACGCCCAAAAGGGAAACTAAACCGGTCTTCCAGGCTGATCGGATTTCTTATTGGTCAGTTTCTTACTATAGCTGTCTCGAGCGTTCCTCTTGCTTAATTAGTTATATACAAGTGATGTGGCCCTGTGAGAAAGTAGCCGTGGCGGTAGCTGTTTTACTAGGCGACTCGTCGACCTCAGTGTCCCGATAGGCTTCACTTTGTTCTGGGAGAGCCATAGCAACCATCCTATCCTTGTTTATGCGATCGCAAGGGTGTACAGTCGGATATCTAGCGATCGATATCGGTTGACTGGGCCTCATGCTGAAGACAACGCCTGCGATCACCTAATAACCTCAGCGAAGAATCCTTCGCCCTCACTAACGTCTACAGGCTGGCTGTCTATGTGAGCCACGATAGGAAGACGAGACCAGTTGCCGCCGCCACTGGCAGTTCCCCTTCGTACTCGTCGACGCAATCGCGGTCACAGCCGCTATAACAGACCCAACAACTACCAAACTCCGAAGTACGCAGCCGTTATTTTTAATAGTTTTCCAATTCGACACTGAATTACATGTTGCGAAAGAAAAAAACGTTCGGGTAACCTACTTGTACTCAGAAACAGCCCCGGGAGACCTCTCCCCCTGTGATAAAGGTGAACAACTGAGGGCTCTCCATCATACATGCCTGTCAGTTATCATAGGTTTTGGCCAATATAGTCATTTAACGGACGATACCTTAACCTAGGCAAAGAAGACCTAGGTTTTCGGGACGGTACAGCCAGTACACTGCAATCAAATCATGTTCTAAGACTGGTAATGTAACTTTACCGGTGATGTTCATGCTGCAACCCATCACCATCCAGTCCCATTTCCAAAGTAAAGGTAAGTTAGCAGACAGGCCAGCGTTCTGAGCTGCGATGCGGATCGATAAAAACCATTATTGTCCAACAACGGACGCCAACCCTCGCTGTCACATTATCCCGTGTCATCTGTGGCGAATCGCGGTGTCCCCTGCGTCCACTGACCCTCCTAAAACGAAGTTCAAAAATGATGCGCGCAGAAAAGATCTCAGAGGAGCCTGGTCCATCGAAATATGACCCCTGAATAATTCTGGGTGCATTAGATCTTCGTATTTGCATTATAATATCAAGGACCTCAACAGTTTCCGGCCAGGCCGCAACCTAGTTATGCGGTAATGGGTGGACGGTCATTTGAGGATTGTTTATTCTGTAGTCCCCTTCATGGTTGAATACGCGGTCTGGTGTCACAAACGACAACCTATCTGCAGTGCAGCGATGTGAATCACTCCCGCCACCAAAGTGCCCCAACGAATTATCCACACCATTACATAGACTAACAGTTTCCAGTTGGACGTGTGCGCAAAACGGGGCCCAGTAAAGGTTATGGTCCGACCATGTTTTGCTCAAAAGCGTTATTGCAGTCTTCCTCGCTGTTACGAACTCCTTTCAGGGTGGCTTGGCCTCTGCCTAGTTATGTGTCGAACCCCGAGAGCAATATGCTACTCCTTGCAAATCGGTTAGCACCGCCGGGAAAACTTACTCGCAACGACTTAACCCTTGCCATTGACAACTATGACCAATTTCATCTAAGAGAGTAGGCCTCGCTGGAGGATATATAAGTCCCCGCAAACTAAATCTACCGTAACTATGTAAGAACCAGTCGTTAGCAAGCACTTACCCACGAGGGCATGACGCGAGTTCCGTCGACGAGGAGTCCACTCGGTTATGGGTGAACTCGCGGGTGACACACCCTTCTCAATCGGTTGTTTTGTTATTCAAAAAATCGTCACAGACCACCGAGTCAAGCAAATTTCCCCCGAGGGAAGTGGCGCCATATGTATCCAGTATTTTTATCTCCCACGGACCGGTACACTCAATAGCCTTGATCCAAAACCCTCGCCCTGAAACGTTTCCTAGTATTTCCACATCAGAAACTATACCATAATTCCTTAAATACGACTGCTTGAAACCCAATTTTAATTACCTCCTACCACTTAACGCCAAGCCCGCCAAAACCAACCTAGGCCACCACAGAACTTAATTTTAAGAAAAAGGAATGAGGTTAAGATATCTCCGGGCTATAGTGAAATTACAGCCGCATGACTTGCGCGAAGTAGGTTTTACCCCTATCAAGCGTCCTCACTAGGCCAGGGTACGCGACTGAAAGGTTGACTGACTTGATTTACGGTCCTTATTTGCGTGTATCAGACCTCACACAGCAGCCCCAACCCAGATTCATATATTTTTAACAACTATTCCCTGCGCCTGGCCACCGCGCATTCGATAGTCACCAAGAGGCAAATATTCGCGTCCCAGGTATGGGCATGGATAGAGAAGATGAAGGCATGTCCATCAACGGAATCGTAATTCTATTCGTCAGAGCTTTTGAACTCTTTCTAGTCCATCGTCAGAGATAAGAGTCAACGAAAAACAAGCAATGGGCAGACATCACCGGACTGATGGCAGTGTTGCTTGATTGGCCCTTCCCACTATAACAGTCTCCAATATCGGGTGCGCTGGTTGGATTAAGCACCTAGAAGTAGGTAACTGAATCGGACAGTCACGTAGATAGGGAGCAAAGCAATAACTGCCGTCCGCACGTACACAGTTGACGAACATGACTCACATTTGGGCTTCTACTAGTGACCTAAGAGCACACTTAATAGCGCTCTAGTCCCCTATAAGCACACATTCTTCTATCCAACGAGCTAACAAATCGCTGGCCGACGTACACTTTTCAGAATAAAGTCCTTTCCGGTATTCTGAAGCCAAGCATTAAGGTACGCATCCATAGCTTTACTTATACAGGTATCCCGAAGATGTAGTACAACCACAGTTCTCGTCACAGACATCTCGATACCCCTCCAAAACCGTT